ATGACCGCTTCTTCATGTAACTACTACTGCTACTACTACTACTATCACATTTATTACTACACCACGACTGTTACTGCTACTGGTACGCCACCAACCTAGCCATCTAGTAAGTCAGGCAGCGGCCACCCATGAGGGCATACACGGGCCGAAACCCGAACCATCCGCGACTACGCCACACAGATCCGTTCGACCCGACCAAGCGCCGTTGTGTCTGGCCTTTCTCTCTGTCCGTAAGCAAGGTGGTGCCTGGGCCCAAGGTAAATGCGTCACCTTAACCGAGTGTACTCTTTAGATATATACATTATATCTATTATATATCTTTATATATAATACACTTTACACACTTTTGTAACTTGTTCTATATCAATTATTGGTATATACTTAAGATCTATATATTATATATATATATATATATATTGTGTATCTGTTAACTGTGCACCAATATATAGTTCAGGTGTTGTTTTTATTATTAATATAGATCTCTATTGCAAACATTCGACGAGCTTGGAGCGGTGCACACGCAAAGTATACATAAAAAAGAACCAGTACCAGAGACAAGGGACCAGTTTAACAGTTTATTTATACGTAGAAATATGTGTCATATATCCAGTGTGCTCGAAATTAGGCATCCGTTCCGTTTTTTGATATCAAGATTATATATATATCTAAGTAGCCGTTTGTTTAATTTTTTCCGTATTTTGTGTATGTATTTTCTTTGTTCTTCGGGTTTACAAAAATTTATCAAGAGATAGAACGAAATTCTTGTTTGTACCATGTGTCCCTTTCGAATGAAAAGAGGAAACCAACTTTTCTTTATGCAAGGCAATTTCATCGTATATGAGAGATTCAGTTTCTTTTCTTTCTGTTTAATATGAGGTATGTGTATTAAGAGAGAAAAAAAAAGAAGAGAAAACGCATGTGCCAAGGGAACATCTCAATAATTAAGTTCGCCGTGGCAGATTGTCTATAGAAAAAAAATACGAATTAAGGTGTATCGACCTGATTTGACATCGTTATTTTTTTAATATATATACGCATTGTGGATACGTACACCATTCGCATTTAGGATTTTCTCGAACGCATCGAATTTAACAAATTTTTTTGAATGAAAAAAGACTGGCGTATCATGGATGATCATGAAGAGACAACTACATTCTGGTATGCACGCACGCACCTAACAAGAGAGAGAGTCCACAACATAAAGCCGTACCTGGTTCCCACAAACACAAGAACAACAGTCTCAACCAATATGCAATGGATACCAAACAGAGAGATTTTCTTCGCATTATGGATGATGTATCACAAAGAACAGACAAGAAGAACTACCACAAACTAAATTGTAGAGGACATAATAAGAAACAGGATATTAACATCAAGAGGAGTACTAAACTTTCCAGAAGTGAGAGACAATAATAGCGACGAATTGTTTTTCTTGTTCTTCGTTGGTTGTATTTGTACAAGACTGGTGAAAAATATGGTTTTATTTCAGCAGATTTTTCAAATTTCCACTTTCCAAGTATGATATTCTTCACTGTGTATACACAAATTACATTTATCGTTTGTGTTAGCTTTGAAATACAAATTCTGTGATTTGAAAGGCATCCTAAAAAGACAGGATATTTTTTTCAGCATGTACTCAAGACCAATCGATCAATCACCTTCCATTGTTCATATTTGATTTCCAACGAGCAACTGTCTTTCTCTCTGCCATATGCAGTTCCATCTTTTCAACGATTCATATAGTTTTTAATAGAACCATATACAGTTTACAGTTTCTCTTAACATTTTGAGTAAGTAGTAGAAAAGATGACTCTAGATGTTCTTTGTAACACAGTCTTGATTTTTATTGTGAGCTGCTCTGCAGAAATTACCATTATCAATGAGTTTATATAAACAGAAATAATACTTCTAGAATTTTTATAAGAGTATATGTGCTTTTCTGCAGGGTGGAGGTAGCTTGAAGAATAAAATGACTATACTTGTTTTAAAGATTGAATTGCATAAAAAGAAAGGTTGCATCAATCGCAGATACTAAATTCGAGCACATGTTTTTCTCAACACTGAAGATTTATGGACAGACAGGAGACATTACTCTTGGCTCTTTCAGTAAGGATAGATTTTTCTATTCTTTTATATAAAGGATTTCTGTGTTAGGAAGCGTAGTGGACATAAAAAGTGCACAAGATACATTTTCTAACCTCTTCTGCGTGTAATCTCTTAGTATAGGGACACAAAAACTTAGTCTTATTCATACGTGAATTATTAATCGTACCTCATTATGATTAATCGTAAGATACTGTGTTCCATTTATCATTGTAATATACTAACTCATGTTCTTGTGTGATGCTCAGGATTTGAAGGATTATATGAGACAGGCTGGCGAAGTGACGTACGCAGATGCACACAAACAACGCAGGAACGAAGGGTAAGTTTCAATTATTAAACAAAATTTTATTTAAATTCTACTCATTATATTAGTTCAGTTTAATCAATTCTATAATTTAACATTACAGGGTTGTAGAATTCGCAACATACTCCGACCTGAAGAACGCAATTGATAAGTTGGATGACACAGAACTAAACGGGCGTAGAATCAGACTTATCGAAGATAAAAGACGTGGACGTCGCTCAAGATCCTCAAGTTCAAGATCAAGATCAAGGTCACGATCTCGATCTCGCCGCCGATCTCGCTCCCGCTCAAGGTATTATCGTCGTTCTCGAACCCGATCAAGGTACTGTCGGGGGCGACAATGTCTCCAATCATTTTTTACTTTAATAGTAACCATACAAGTAGCATTTTTTAATTATAATTTCGATCACTTCGAGATTATCCCGTGTACCGTACGTGTTTCATGTTTGATTCTCAGATTATTTTGCTACTGGTTTATTAAAATTAGATTCACATTTAGACATTCACTTTATGAATGCAGGACATACATACACGCACACACGATTCATCTAAAGTAACTTAAAGTGGTTGCAATGGATATTGATACGATATGACAGTTGTATTAATTAGATAAAGCTTAAAAATATATTGAGTGTATTAACGATAATGTTTTTCTGTGTACCAGGAGTCGTCGTAGCTCTCGTAGTCGTAGCCGCCGCAGCAGCCGTTCCAAATCAAGGGCACATTCTAAATCTAAATCAAAATCTAAATCCAAATCCCCTGAACGTAGCCGCTCTCGATCTAAATCCAAGTGAGTATTCCTAATAATATATTGTACGTAATTTTCAGTTATTGTGATTAATGTTCTTTTCCAAGCATTTATTTATTTGCTTTGTTTCTTGCGCAATTATCAATAAATTAGATATATGGTGTATAAGTGTATACATTTCACACGTGTGTATATTACTCCCGTTCAGTTGGCATTGTGTTTGGGCTGGTTTTTTTTTTCCTCAAAAAGCCTCTCACCGCTTTATCCATGTTCTTTTTTTCTTTATTTTTTTTTTCTTTCAAAAGAACACATGTATATGTATAAATGTGTATCACTCATTTTTCTTGTTTAAGAAAACTTAAGTTTTTTTCTACTCTATTTTTTTAATTGTATTTTTTCCTGCATCCTCTTCATTTGAACTATAATTTTACAGATCAAGAGACCGCTCAAAGTCGAAATCTAAGTCAAAGTCCAAATCCAGATCTCGTTCTAGGTCCAAGGCTGAGAGGTCAAAGTCCAGGTCGCAGTCCAAATCCAAAGCCAAGTCTCCCTCAAAGTGAGTTCGATAGATATAATTAGCGCAAGCAAGGCAAATCCATTGTTGTTTTCTTTAATCATAGTTCTTCTTCCAGAGATCGATCTAGTCGCGAGAGATCGAGAGGCGACAGATCAAGATCCCGATCAGGCAGCAAACATAGTAAAAGTCGCAGCCGTTCACGTTCACCAATGAACGGCGATAAATCACCAGAAATTAATAAGCAGAAAACTGATTAAAAGGAAACTGGAAACAAGAGAGGGAGAGAAACAGTGGAGGGATAACTGTGTGGAGCAAATGACTTCGAAGGATTGCTTGAGAGAGAGAAAGAGAGAGAAGAAGAATTTTCCTCTTTTTTTGTTTCCCTTTTTTTTCTACGATTTAAAACACATTCAAGAAGCCAATTTTTCATGCCTTTGTTTTTAAGAGACGTCGATTTTTGTGACATTACACACTACTTGTAATTAACATGTACATCGTTTTACGAATAAGCAAACGAAAAAAAGTCAGAAATCTTGTAAAATGTGGAACAAACGATAAAAATGAATGTAATTTAATGGTCGGTAACATTAAAAAAAAAAAATTGTACATGGGTTTACTTAACCGAACCAATTTGTACATTGGTTTCACCGTAATTTTAAAACTACACAACACTTTTCATCTTCGAAAAACACCACTCGCATTTAGAGAAATAAGATGTCTTCATACGTACCTTAAACGGATTCTACACGTTTTTCGATGTATCGCCGTATATCAAGGAATTCCCTGTAATGGCTTTTTGTATATATTCCTAACAATCACATTACAATAAGCAAATTGTGATGTGTTAAAATTTAGTGGTAAGAGGTATCTTATTATCAATAAAATTTCACGCCAAGCCTATCATGTTTTATTTCTTTACCTTGTTTTAAACATTGAACAATGCTCTTTTTTTTAAGTGATTCCCACAAAAGATATTAAACGATTTAATTGTTAAATAATAGTATCAAAATTGTATGATTAATAATAGCAGAAATTGCATTGAAGTGCTTTAATCGCCAGTAGTTATGATTCCGCCATTCCGCTTACTTCTCAAAGTTTGAAGTAGGTGGTAGCGTTACTTAAAATTTTATAACTACACGAGAATCAGTAAACTTCCCTTCCCCAAATGACCAGTGTATAATTTTAAGAGGGGTGGTTTATTGCTTTTAATTTTCCTATTTTTAAGGTTATTCATTTCTTTACTTCCCTTCTACATTACCTATAATTCTTAAAGCAAAAAAAAAAAAGAAAAAAGGACGAACAATAAATCCATAAAAAGACCACCAATGCCAACTTAACATTGCTCAAGACCTGTCTGTCTCTTGTTCAATGCCCTGTCAATAGGGTCAAAATACTTTTCCCTCTAAAATACACGGCTTCCTTACCATCTAGCACTTGATGCGTTCTACACAAGAAAAAACAAAGCTCGTTCTGTTTGAATGTCTGAGCGGCGGGATTCCACTTGTCAGAAACATGAACTGCCGAAATCGTTACAAGGAACAGAGGACGCCGACTTCGTTTGGAGCATGATAACCGATAGATTCCCAAACGCTGCGCCTCTTTTATGCGAGATGGAGGCGGTGATTGATCGAGCAGAAGATCTTCTACAACAGCTACGTGCACCATGTCGTGAAATCGGTAGATCTTTGTGATTTATTTCAATTATCTAATCAAGATAGAGAAATTAGGGGTACATTTTTTTATATGACGATTACGCAGAGACGTCAACCTCTTTCTGCACGCATGACTCAGACGAGTCGACTGTAATGATGTCCGCCAGAGGGTCGTTGATTACCGAGACCGATGTAAATATCAAAAATCGATTTTTATGAATGAATTGTTACAATTATGAATTAATTATTACGATACTATAGGTCGTAGAGGAAAACGTTAATATCGATAAAAACACGACAGAAACGCAGATTTTTGAGAGTAGTATTTACAAAGAAGAAGTTGATTTGAACGGAGACAGTCAGAACTCGGTTCCTAGGGCACAGGACATTGGAAGTCAGTCAAATAACTCGTTCGTAGTTCATTGTCCTACTGCAGGAAAATACTATATTGATAAATCTACTTCTTCGAATGCCGAAACAAGTACGTATAGCTCTGTTTAATGATAAAATTTAAATTATTTAACATAATTATTGAATAATGGTTATTTTTTCTATTTAGGTACCGATCAAACGGTGAAAGAGGTGCGCAGTTTGGAGGAATGGGGTAAAATAGTGGACAGCGCTATGCGAGCAGTCATTGGTATTCAAAATATTTCTAAAACTATTTCTTTTACTTGATTGAATTAATTTTTATTGCAGTCAAGGATGAATCTGTTAAAAAGGTGGAAGCTGTAAAAGTAAAAAATAAAACAGAAAGCCACAATATAAATGGTAACTTTGCTTTATTATTAATTTAATTTAAAACAAGTTAGTTAAAAAATGAAAAAGTTAAATGTATCTTTTTTCTATCTTAAAAAACGTTTAAACACAGATTGAAACTTTTATAGAGCAGAAAGAATCCTGCATAGTTCTGCATCGTCAAGAAATATACGCGGACGTCGGCGATTCGGTGATGGAAATCAATTCTGATCGGAGCCAAAAATTATACGAGCCCAAGGACGATGCCGTAAATGTTTCATATAAAGTAAAAAAAAATTTGGTTTATTTTTCACATATGTACAGTTTATTTTACAATATTTTCTACAACTTGTTCGCCTATTTTAAATTAATTAAAGGGTAACGGAGACGAGAGTACACCGAAGGTTAATCAACGGGCGCCGTTAAGCATTCTAGAAGCGTTTGCAAGACGCTGTAAAATACCAGTCGAATACGAATACATAACAGACGGTCCACATCGTTATAAATCGAACGTGTATGTGATACGTGGAAATCTCGCTGGATTCACTGGTAATATCTTAGGTCAATATTTGGTAAATTCATTCGACAGGCTTAATTTTGAAGATTCCATAAATCTATGTTTTCATTGCAAACATTATTCTTTCTAAGTGTATCAAATTCATTCCTATAAATTAAATACTAGGTCTATTAGAAATAAAAAAAATATTGATATTACAAATTTTGTAAATCTATTAACGAAAACCTATTCTTGTCTTTAAATAAATTCTAATAATTAAATTAATAGCAACCTGCCGAGGCGAGAGCGAGGAATCTACCAAAAACGAACTGGCCTCAAAAATTCTGCAAATGATCGCGAATCAACAGATGAAGGACGAAAAACTCAATGCACTCACAGAGCTTACAAACGAGGAGTACGTAGTGGATAAACCTAATTCACAACCGTTTACATTTCATCCTTAAATTATCAAAAATTATGTTTCACTTGATAGAATGATAGAAGTACTTAATCTGGGCCTGGACGGTATAAAAGAAACAGCCCAGAAAAAGTTATATCAACTTTGTCTGGAGAAAGAAGAACCAGTTCCAAAGTACCATATAGACAAAGAGAAAACTTATCAGGGTTTGGCTTACGTCGCTACTTGCTTTGCATTAGGCTATATTTGCGAGGGTATGTTCAACTAATCTTCCTCTTAACACTTATTCCACGTTCTTTTTTGCTTTTGATTCAATTTTCTTTTTAAAAAAATTCAGGTCGTGGCGTGAGGGAGTGTGTGGCCAAGAAAGCAGCCGCTGATGAGTTGTACCATCAGTATTTCCAAGATTAGAGTGAAAAGTTGAAGGTAATTTTCCTTGGTACTCTTCTTTTATGGTATTTTGGCGACAATCCAAGGCAATTTGCCTGTTTTCCTGAAGCACCAGTAGTCGTAGAGCAGTTTTCCAATGATTAAAAATATTAGGATCGCCAAAATAATGTTTAGAACGTCTAGGGGGTGAAGTAGGGGATCTTCATCCGGAGAGACGCAAATTTCAGTGCGTTTCAGGTCCTTTATCTTTGAAAACATTATACTTTATGTGTCTTACATTGAGGAAGATCACAGTAGAGCGTAATAAATAACTTAATAATAAGTAAATAACGTACAATTTTATTAGAATTATCGTCTCCGTTGTTAGGTGAACACCTGACATCGTTAATGTCTTTTACCAAACTTGTATATCTGATCAGGAGGTCCTGAAAATTAATTTGTTTTTAATAGTTACAGAATTTTTAGACATTACATAAAAAAATGTTTACTTTTGCTATATGCCTTTGATTTGTACCTGAAAACCTGGAGTAAAAAGACAATCACATCTCCAAGTATTTCTTCCAAGGTACAAACTCACAGCGTTTCCGTTGTGTTGTAGCACATTTTCCAAAGCATACGTTGGCAGCTGAAACAACGACAGAAAATACTTATCGCCTCTTAATCGTTTAAACCGGACTTAACGCGTTAAATCCACCAGTTCTAATCAAATGCAAATCCTCTGATGAATTTTTTAACATGTCTGTTCCAGTAACACATTCTCAGTCATTCAGAATACAATACAGACATCGGTCAGTTTGTTTCCACGAAGACTGAGCAATCGAAAACGATCCACCCAACTAGATCCCTCCAGTTGAACAATTGACTCGATCAGATTGTCATCCAGATACAGATCTATCACTCCTCTGTAAGCAGGATTCGTCGTGAGTGGTCTTAGATCTTGTATCTGCAATTAAGATCCTATTCTTTTTAGCTGCTAATAAGCTTCTACTATTTAAAAGCATATGAATTTAATTTATAAGACTGTAACCTTGTTTCCAGATAAATGAAGAGTGGTCGTATTCGCAGGCAAAAAGCTCGGCATCTCCGTTAGTTCACGATAGCTACAGTTCACCGAAACAAAAGCCATAAGTTGTTTCTGGATGTGCTTTCCTCCATTGCCAACCACGTACACCAGTTCACACTCGCATACAGTTTTTGTACATTCCTCTTTTAGCGTCTAACATATTAAATGCATTGAGTCAAGGAGGTCTACATAGAATAGTGTCGTTTCTTACGAATAAACTATAGTATAGAATTAATTACTTTGAGTATTTCTACTACTGGTATCAGTGGTCTACCATCGTATGGCACTGTGCAACGTAGACTCTCTTTGTCAGCCACTTTGTGACCTAAAGAACATTTTTCTTGGTCCAGTATCCATTTTGTGCTCTCCGTGCATTTTAATGGATTACCTTTATGAATTAATTTTTATTATATTTGAAAATTACATGTATAAAAAAGTTACAAATATTGTACTTCTTACCAGAAAGATAAATATGACGTAAGGAAGAAACATTATAAATTTCAGCGTCGACTTCTGCGAGGCTGTTATTCCGAAAGTCGAGAATTTTCAAGTTTGAAAGATTGAGAAATACATTTTCTGGGAGATTCTTTAATTTCGTCCCAATTATCTCTATTTTCTGAGCAAAACAAGAATATTTTTGTATATGTATAATGTAAATAAATACGTAAAAAGGTAAAATGATAGTACCTCAATTAATTGATTTTCACTTGGAAAAGGTGATATCAATTTAGTCAAGTTGCTTTGTTCAATAACTAGCTTTTTCAAAGAGGGAAATCCCTGCAAAACGTCCGTAGGATCGAAGGTCTCCGTAGGCCAATAGCAAAGCACCAGAGTTCGCACGTTCTCGTCTCTAAACAATTATCCTTAAATGCTTTTCTCTACGTGCTATTTAAACACTCATTAGTATGTAACGAAACGACGGCGATAATCACCCGGTCTTCCATTTATCCTCTAACCCGTGAAAACAAATTAGACGATGTTCCTTGAAATTACACTCCAAGCTTGTGTTTGACTTCTCCTGACGCAAATCACAGTTTTCCTCGCCCGAGTTCGCACATGAAAATCGTAGATTCACCCAGAAAAACATCACCCTAAATAAAAATTATTCCACAAAAAGTTACCACCACTTATCGCTTCTTTAATGCAGAATATTCAATTTTTTTTAATCCTCTAAATTTTGGATCTTATTAATTTTTCTGAATTTTTGGTATTTGTAAAACAGTGGAGTCGACGAAAAGTTTGAAAGCGCAAATTTTATTTTCACGAATTGTTCTTTTTGTAAAATAATTAAAAATGTCGATGACTAATAAGAAAATTTCTGTTTCGAAATTAATTTGAATAAATGTTTTGAACTAGTGGCACTGCATTATCTAATCTTTCGCGACTTAATACCCTTGCAAACAAGGAAATATACCGGAATATACCGCGTGCGCCATAGTTTTACGGCCCTTGTAAATAGTAATAATCATCTGCCAGTTATCTAATCGCCATTGTTTTAACATTACTGTCATTTGATAGTTAGAAACGAGAACGATTTTTGAGCGAGATAAGCTTCGAACATTCGATTTCGGGGACTCACGAAAAGAAATGCATTTTTTCTTCATTCATGACGGTATTTTTGTTCGCTTAACATATTTGCTTGACTAATTCTGAATTTTCTGTGAATTCTTGTCACTTTATTACCATAATAATCGTACTTTTAATCAAATTTCAACTGTACCAGTTTAAAACTGAAAATTCACGCATATGCTGTATGAATTCTATTCGATTTAGTGAAAGAGAATGAAAGTTGAATAAAAAATTATTTGGTGACGTAGAAAATAAGAAAAAAACTATAAAAAAGGAAAAATTTTACTCACAAAAGAAAGTAGCCTGATATTTTCCACATTTTTACCTGTTTTTTATTACAAATTGAATAATAATGGTACACTTATAACAGAAAGATTTATTTGAATTTTGGGGAGAATAATCACGAATTTTCCATCGATTTTAAGATTTTTAATCGTTCAAATAGATAAAATGTAAAATGATCATGTTAGAATGGTGCACAAGTGTCAACTGAGGGCTGGTAATGATAATAAGAAAATCGAAGCTGGTCCTCTCCACTCGACGGATGAACAACTAAGACGATGTCAGGGTTTAACTAGAAGAGAACATATTGCAGGATGCGAGCGCAGACGCAGACATTCGATTTACATAGTACGTTAATGCATATTGCGATAATTAGATGTTTTCAGTTGGGGAAAACAACGATTTGTAGCCATTCACACAAATACTACGTTCGTTCCTGTACCAAAAAGAATATTTTGTTAATTACATAGTGCACACTGGGTCATATTATTGTTATGCAAAGTTTACTTATCGTGGTTGCATAAAATACATAAATAGAATTGCAGTGATGTTTCTATGGTCTCCCAAAATTTTGATTCCCTTTCAAATATTCTACTACTGTATTGTCTGGCAAAGCAAATTTGAAGCTTCTGTCGTCATCGGTTGATCAAATAAGCGGTCAGACCATCACCACTATTCTTCAGTTTACATTGCCGCCGTTTGAGGGAAAGTTGCGGTGTAGGTAAATGGTTTGGACAAATGATTTTCAATCAGTTGTCGATAATGTAGTACGTAGATAAAAAAAAACGGAAACCACAGACGAGGTACAGGCACAGACGACGTACAAGTACCGATGAGGAACAGGATAGACCTTGCATCTTGTGGGATTTTTTGTCCAGGGCTTTGGGGTCGATAAGAACCTTACCATCTTCATGTCGCTACCAAAGTTACCGAAACAGTATCGAATAAAATTACATTAGTCTATCTTGTACGTCGTCTGTGCTTGCACCTAATGTATTTTTGTGTATAACGTTCTGAAATACCGATCGTATAAAAAATCAGAGTTTTTGTTATACCCTCTATGATATAAAACGGTGAATTTAAGAATTACATACAATCCAACCATCGAAGATGGTAATGCCGACAGATGTAAAAAATCCTCTTTTATTAAATTTGCATACAAAGATACATATATATATATATATTGGATTGCTTGGGTGGAACTGTTCACGATCTTTTGACAGCAGTAAAACACGCGCATGCGATGAATCACCTACTACATAATAAGTAACTACGTTACTTTTTTATTTGTAATTTCGTAGCTACGTTTAATTTCAATTCCAACCGCTACTAATGTTGCAATCTTATTCTATGCTGAATCGGTAAAGTTGGTAGCGACATAGAAATGGTACGGGTCTTCTCGGCCCCAAAAACCGGACAAAAAGTCCCATAAGATGCTGTGTCTATCCTGTACATTTCCTGTGCCTGTACATCACTGTGCTGTAATGAAAACATGCCACTATAAACCGACAGCAACAGCCATCGTTTCCGCGTCTCGGAAATCGACATGTGGTTCATTTGTTACCGACTGCTCACGCGAAGCTGAATCTTCGCCTATTTTTCATAAAAGAGTAAATGCAGTAGCCTTGTTTTATTGTGATTGCCTGACTATCAGCGAAGACGTAAAAGTAAGTGTGATAACTTAATTTTGTCACTGTTAGCTGATTATCAGCGAGGCGTCACTTCTTTTACATTTCCCACTTCTAAACCCTAAATTTTCTTTGCCGGATAATAGTATGTTTATATTTGAAATAGGCGGGTATATCATTCATGTCTCTATAACTATTATATTACCCTAATACAAAAGGAACAATTCGACAGAAAATTTATCTTCATGCAGCACCATCATACGGCGATTAGTTACCACCTTCTATGTTATGATATTCTAATATTGAAAACGAATTTTGACAGTTAATTCATCATCATTATAGAGGCGCAATCTAGCGTTAAAAGAACTCTACTCTCATCATGTTATCCTGTTATAAGAAGTAAGTTTTGAGGGAAAATTCAGCTTAGTTATAGGAGCGTCTTCCATCTTGTGTTGCTTCCTTGACAGTTGTGCGATCCTGATAATACAAGTAGATTTTGAGTCGAGTTTCGCGATTATCTTATTTTGGACGACGAATTGCATGAAAGGACAAGTACACATGAGGCAAAATCAAGCAATGAAAACAAAATCAATTGAACTGAATAATTTAACTTGGCGAGTGGGGGAAGGGTCAATAAATGATACCAGTTTTATTCATGTTATCGGCTTGTTTTCGTTACTATACAGAATACATTACGTTAATGTGTATTGAACAGATATTTTATTCGAGATTATTAATAATATCCATTGTATAAATTTCCATACTTGAAAAATGAAATTTAATGATCTTTCTGATATTTATATTTTTTTATCGGTTCATCTTACGTATGATATTTACACGCGAATTTATTTTTAAGATAAAAGGTAAAATGTAAATGCTTAACAAAATAAGGAAAGAACAATTGATTTAAAAATAAACTACGTGGCTTTAATTATGTACACATGATTAAATAACAGGATAGGGATTCTTTTTTTTATCTTTGCAAATCTGTAATTAATTTAACTGTTTACTTTGTTGCCTTTCTTTTAATACAATTAAACAAATGAATTAAACAATTTTTAATGTTCCATTTTAATAATACCACCCCCTCTGTTATAATATTACAAGTATATAAAAAAATTACTCTAAATATAAATATTGCTTAACATTCATGAATCAATGTAGAAAATAATTGTGCAGTAACAATTAAAAAATGCATATAATTAACAAATTAATCAGCCAATCATCGAATTGGACAAATATACACGTATACACGTATTTTGATTGGTGAGACTCTTCAGGACTTGTCCAAGGCACCTATTCTCTTTTACCAACAGAGGTTCTAGTGTAACGGATATACCGTCTTTGCGAAAAAGAATTCACATTGGGATCCATACGACACCAAAGACGGTTACAAATCCATCAGTTTTCTGAACGCGCACCCTAATACAATCGCTTTCACCCTTGTGCTGTTTAAGTATTTCATGAAGTTTCGGCGCAGAAAGTGCCTGAAATTTAAAGTTGGTGATTGTCATCGATAAGCATCGTGATAACGTCACATTTCGCGTCCGCGCAACGTCTTGATTATATTTCGCGCCGAAAATACGTTACGCTAATATAAACGCAAACTTGTTGCAGATTAATGTCAGGCATCGCGATTGCTAGGCTCGCCGAAGAGCGAAAGGCATGGAGGAAAGATCATCCTTTCGTAAGATATATCATTTTATGTTAAATTGTTTCTGGTAATTGCTTGTCGGCATGCATGTTGTTCCTTCACGATGTGTTACTTGACACTTCTAGATTATTCGTTTCGAGAAAGCTGCGTTTAGAATAAATAATTTTATTTGTAATGTAATTCGAACATAAACAACTGTTTGTTACCAATCACGAGAAGCATTTTCAGTGAAAGAGTTGAACGCTTAAAATCCTAACCTTTCATATCACTGTATGTGTGTTGGTTTTCTAACATGACAGTGTTAGAAAAACTAACATGTTGTGTAACGGCCATATTTATATTGACATTGACTTTTTTTTTTACAGGGATTTGTAGCACGACCAATTAAAAATCAAGATGGAACTCTTAACTTGATGAGTTGGGAATGTGCAATACCTGGAAAGAAATCTGTGAGTGTAGTGCAAAGTGATAGAAGTTATTATTCATTTCTGTAGTACTGTTTAAACGTTCAATTTTTTAGACACCATGGGAGGGTGGTTTGTACAAGTTGCGCATGATCTTCAAGGATGATTATCCCTCTAGTCCACCAAAATGTAAATTTGAACCTCCTTTGTTTCATCCAAATGTCTATCCTTCTGGAACTGTGTGTTTGTCACTCTTAGATGAAGAGAAAGACTGGAGGCCTGCTATTACAATCAAACAGATCCTCCTTGGTATACAGGATCTGTTAAATGAACCTAATGTGAAAGATCCAGCTCAAGCAGAAGCATATACAATATACTGGTACTGTGTGTGCTGCGAATAAGTACAACTTAAAATATCTATGTGATGTATAAGAAATATTTTCTTTTCTGTTGTAGTCAAAATCGCTTGGAGTATGAAAAACGTGTAAGAGCTCAAGCCAGGGCAATGGCTCCACAAGAATAAAACTATATTAAGTTCTACTAAATTCAAATATTCCAACTATACAAAAAGATTATCATATATCTATATAGCATATTCAAATATTGATCCACATTTCTTATCTTTTTTATAAGTAACATTAGTATATAAAGTAGCTAATTTACTATTATCTGCATTTTTGTTTATGTGACAAAATACCTCTGTGTAATCATATACTCTCTATAAACAGCACTGTTGTTTAGATACAAAAAATAAAAGATAAGATATTATTCTGCTTTATAAAAAGTCTTGCATATTGTCACTGTAAATTTTTTTGTTAGCACTTATTCGTATGAAGTAAATTGAAGCATTTTTTTTTTAAGCTAAAAAGATTAATTCATAAGGTTTAGTGACAATTATTAATAAGTCTTGAAAATGATGTACGAGGTGAGCTATGTAAAGAAGAGAAAAAAAATGCGATATAGTTCCAAAACATCTGTTCGTTCTACAAGTTTTAGGCTGTCAGTATCCATAAAGAAAATGTATTTAAAAGTCTTGTAAGCATTGTACAAATCTTAAAAAATAAAGTATTCCAGGTCGTCTAAATTTCGTTGATTTGAAATAAAAACAATATATCTTTACAAAAAAGTAATAAGTTAAATATAAAGTGTCAAAACAATTTTTTGTTATATAAATATGTTAATAATCTGTTCGGGTGATTTTTAAGTCGCGCCCAGATTGCTTCTCATATCATCGAATGAAGATAATTATACAGTGGGAGAGGAAGAATATTCTTGCACAGTGTTTGGAATACGTAAGTGGAATTAACGTCGATCCCCACGTTCAATGCAATTGTTTGTTTCACATTCGTCTGATTATCGATCGTAGAGTCTGTATAATCTGCTTCAACGACAAGCAAATTTAAAGTGCTCAGAAAATCCTCAAGTGTGAGTTATTCGATCAATCATTGTCTAAAAACGTATATTCAAACAACGCGTAAATTTATACATTATTCGTATAATTTATCGAACCATGCCATCAACCAAAGGATCTGTACAAAAATTAAACACTGCAATCGTAATAAGATGCATCCTAGGCCTTGCTGTTTCCTGCTATGCGTACTATGTAGAATTAGCAACGGAAGAGGATGACTCTTATGAAGCAATGTGTGATATTAGTGAGCACATTAGTTGCACCAAAGCATTTTCATCTGAGTAAGTGTGAATGTTTTAATTTTAAAATATGCACGATGTCGACGACTCCATGCATCTTCTGCATGATCATAATCTAAAGAAATTGCCTAAAGTGTGATTTATACTGCGCGATTGATGTAAATACTTTTCAAGATAAGAAATGATTAAAAGATATGTCATTCAATATATTTTTAATTACAAGTTTCTGATATTTCTCAAATTAATACAATTAATAAACATGAAGATATATGTAATTAAAAAGATTTTTCCATAATTATGCATCAAATAGTGTTACACGTAGAAGTCAGCCTTAATGATTCTCGCACATGCGTAGTTATCGAGTATCAAGTTTCAAATTAAATTTGTTATGCATAATGCATGACATTTTGTAACTTTAAAGTATTTTATCAACTGTTAGAGAGATCAATACGTTTAATCAATGAAATTATCATATCTAATCTTAGATAAATGTAGTTTGATAAGAAAAACAATTTTATTGCAGATATGGGAAAGGATTTGGAATAATTCCAGAGACATCTATTTTATATGCGCCAAACCCTGTATACGGTCTTATATTTTATGCTTTGATCGCACTGCTCAGTACGTATTGTAGTGAGAATTCTTTCCAATGAAATCGTGTCTTGTTTTTTAATAATATTTTAATGACAATTTTTTAGGTATGTCAAATAGATATATTACATCAGCCATGGTCGTAACCTTAGGAATTCTCGCAAACTTCGGCACGATCTATCTGGCCTATATTTTGTACATCTTAAACAACATTTGCGTAGTCTGTGTTAGTACTTATATCATAAATGCAGCTATTTTAATACTTTCTGTTAAGAAGCATCGACAACTATTTTGGAATGCCATGAAAAACCGACAGAAGAAATCGAATTAGAATAAAAGATTTAATTTACTCATTACCAATTACAACAAAGCTCCTAACAATAAAAATTAATCATTATTTTCATATTATTCTCTTAATACCTATTTGATTTGGTCCCTTGATTTATTCAAATTTTACAAATTGTACCGAGAAAATATTTGTATGTACTATTCGATACACACCTCATGTCCAAATAAACGCTATAAATGCAATTATCCCCAATAATTGTAATTTTATCCCGCGTTAATATGATACAGCGATAAGGTGTCTTGAAATTCAACATAACATTTAATGTGTTCCTACGAATGAATTGCTAAGGTTGATTCATTCTCCACTATCAATCTGATATGTAATCTTGGACTATGTAACCCAATGCGCGAGTTAAGGAAAAACATATGTATGCCTTAGGTGGACGTGTGTCGTAACGAGAACCTGTCTGAAACTGTTCAATTAATCCTATCTTCTTACAATCGATGCAACATCACTGTTATTACTTTACACTATACAATATAACCTCAAATAGTTTTCAGTGTTCCACTTGAATTACATTTAAAAAAACAAAAAAAAGCAGTTCATCCATGAAATTATTATAAAATGTCAATACTCCTGTTGTATGGTGTCTTTCAGCAAATCCCTGTTGCTGATACTGGCTAAAATACTTGGACTCTTCAAAGGTGGCGTTTCGTCTAACCGATTCAACTGCAACGTAGAAGTATATGGTATTCTCGGTGGGGGCGTCTCGACGCCGTTTCTTCCAGCTTCTACGTTAAAGCTCTTACTGCGCGCCAAGGAGGACTTGTAAGTTCTCTCAGGCTTGATTGGTGGCTGTAAATTGTTGTGCATTGCAACTTTTGGCGACGTGACCGTGTTCTTGATGGAAATATTGATCATGCTCCCGTACTGACGCGTCTGGTGGCCCTGTGGAATATCACCATAAGACGTTCCAACTTTTACCCCACTGGATACTACTTGCTGCCGCCTCGACTGTATTTTAGCGTACTGTCCTCCGCTGTGGAGATTCCTAGGCAGTGTCTGCGTGCTCCTTAGCAGTTCCTCTCGCTCGTGGTCATTGGCCAAGCGACCAGTGGACTTGCTAAACCTGCCAAGTGAACTGGATGCGACGCTGAAACGCGTCGATTCGAGAATTGACTTGGTAGTGGCTTGATCAGGCGATGATTCAAAGAGACTACAATAGCGGCGTATAGAGAGACATGCAGCCTTCACCCAGCAGTCCGAAGCTGCTCGACTTTCGTCGAGATAATATGTATATATACGTATATGCACTATTTAACAAGAAGCGAAGCACACCGTCTACGATTATGTAAATCTGTATCGGCTTACTGGAATGTCTTTCGACGCTCATACGATTACGCCTTTCTTTTCGTAGCCGGGCAATACGATACTGCGCTGCTTTTACGATTAGCTTGCACAACGACAGACTGAGCTAATATATATATACATATATATATATGTATATACGATTAGCTGTTTTTAATGCTTTCTTATAGCTTAGCTTGGTTACCTGTACTCGTTCTCAGTGGTTCGACGCGGTTTCCCTGATCTCCTCGCCTCACGGTATCCTTTCTCACGTCCATAGATGCTTCCTCCGAATGGATCCTCACCCAGATAATACCTGTGCAGCGGTGGAGTCGATTCACTGCGTTGCCATTGTTCCTGGGACACGTGGTCGCTGGTTCTGACTGTTTTTACAATCTTGTTGGAATTATTGTTCATCGTAGCGTTTCTTGGAGACCGTGGAGGTCTCTCTGGAGGTTTCTCCTCTATGTCCCTTTCGTTCACCAGAGGAATATTCTTGTCGATCACGTTGTACTGCATGTAGGTTGGTCCGTTGTCGTCCGTCTGAGTTAACTGAGAGGTTGAGCTGCTGCTGGCGCGTTTGTTCTTCCTTTCACTGCTTGCTGAGCGTAGCTTGCCCACCAGTTTCCTGAACGACTCGCCTATCTTGTATTTAGAGTGCCCTGAACCTTGTAAAAGAAGACTTTTGAATAAATTATTCAAATAATTGGTAGTTTTTTTTGGATGAGGTTTGTGTATATACTTTTTGCTGGACGAGCAGGAGTCGGAGTCTCGCTTGATTTCTTTCTGTTGCGGGAATTCGATTCTGGCATGGGAGAAGTTGATCTGGATCTTGATTTCTTGCGATTATCTCGTTCGATGGTTTGCTCATGGGCGTCTCGATTTCGACTCTCCCAGGTTCTTTGAACCACGTGTACTGGACTGGATGTTCGACCGGGGACTGAGTCGTTTAAACTGGTCCTTTCTTCAGACCTCGTTGTCCACTGTAATTAATAGAATTATTATAGGACTCTTAGAATCAAGGCGCTTTTGTTTCGCATCGGCGTGCGACTGTTTGTTTTTCTGTTTGTGAACGTTTTACCAAGCGCGTGGTATAAACGAGTGAATAGGTGAGCGAATGTTTAAGACACGGAAGTCTCAATCGTTTTCTCTAAACGAAGATCCCTATATTATTATAATATACTACTGAAAATCTTTAGAACTGAACTAGAATTCTGAAAGCAATTTAGACCAGGCATAGGCAATATTTCCTGATTCTAGGGCCAAATTATCATATCGACGTGTATCCCGCGTGAGTAGGTAGTAGTAGTGATACATGTCTATTCACGTATGATCTTATGTGTCAGTATATTAATATCTCCAATGTAATGTTGTATATGATTATGTGTTTGACACAACTTTTGCGTGTCTATGCATGAATGTGCGTATGTATACAAGGCTAGTATATTAAATAAAATAATAAAATGAAACACGGTAATAATTAGTACCTAGATGGCCGGATTTAAAAACTTCACGGAGATGGATCACGGGCCAGACTAAAAGAAGTCGAGGGCAGAATCCGGCCCACCGGCCGGGTGTTGTCTATATGTGCTTTGGACCCTAAATTTTATGTAAATATTTTAAAAATACACACTTGTTCCTTCGATCTTCGTCGAGCAGGAGGAGAAGGAGTACGTTGTCTGTCAAAAGATTCTTGGTGTTCTCGACGAAGAACAGACTCGTAGGTTTTAGAATACGTTGATTCGACCTGATTCTTTGAGTGATCATGAGCATGGCCATTTGTGTGGATCGTTTCAACGTATTGCGAAGGAGAGCTTGTTCTAATCGGATTTTGTCTTTCTAGAATAAAAAAAAATTGTTTAAATTACTTTCTGACAAAGTGTAGAATAATTATAAAGTACCTCTTCCTTGGTATCTCTCAGACCATTCGCTAATCCCATGGAAATATCCTGAGGGCGACGTTGAGTCTCTTCCTGTACTTCTTCTCTGTTGTCGATTAGAATTCACGTTCTGATAATCCTTTTCTTTAGGTGTACAGGATTTCATAGTAACGTTAATGTAGCTGGTATTAGTACTAGTTGGAAGAGGAGAATCATCAGCATCGATGGAGCCATGAGAAGAACGAGATTCACTGCCAAAATGGCTCTCCAGCCATTTAGACGTCTCGAATTTTCTAGCTTCATCTTCCTCTTCAAAATCCAGTGGCTTTTTCGTTAACACGTCCTTTCGAGTTGGAAAACCCTCTGCAGGAAAGCCTGCATAAGAATCATAAATCCTTCAGAAATTGATTTAGAATTCTGGGAACGGTAATTTCAAACGAATGTTTTGAATTTTTTGAAATAAATTCAGCGAGAGAAAATGTGGTACCAGAGTGTTTATGGAAACGAGTAGTTCGCATGGCAGTAGGTGACGGTATCCAGTCGCCAATTCTTTCTCCCTCAGTGGTCTCGGCTACATAACGCATCTCACGGGCGATCCTCTCGCCCCCGGAGATATAATCGACTACGTCCTCGTCTCTTTTTTTGATAAACCTCTGAGAGCTTTCCTTTTTTTTCTCCAAAGCGTCGTCGCCGTTTACGTCGCTTCGATCATCTGGTACCTCGTCGTCATTAATCTTCAACCAAAAAGAACAAAATAGGAAATGAATTAAATTTTAATTTGTCTCCTACAACTGTACATATACACTGTAATTACATATAAGTATACAGGGTGTCGTGTGGTACAAGCAAGAAGGTGGTGATTCTATATGAAAAACTGAATCGAAAATGTATAATAAAATTATTTCATAGGAGGTTTAGTTTTTGAGAAAATTGAATTTAAAAATTCATCGAGTGCGCGTGCATTTAACTATTTCTCGGCTTTACGTTTGTGCTAATAAACGATACCAATGTCATGATAAGTATAGATAATACATTTATTAACGATTTCCTTAATTTAAATTTACATTACTGAACGAATTGTTGATAGCGATGTCCGTGTTAACGCATACAAATCCGTTCTCTTTGAATCGGAGAGTCGTGGACTGATGATGCGGTATTTTGACGCTTCAATTGTGTGAAAGCTTGTACAGTTCTTTCTTTTAGTTGCAGATTTACACTATTTTCTGCGTAGACTATTTCTTTGCGAAATGTGACATTACCACTGTTTATTAACGTAAAAGTATGAGTAGAAGCAACAATTTGTAGCTTATCTTTAAATTCAATTTTCTCGGAAGCGAAGCCTTGTATGAAAAAATTTTATTCTATATTTTTGATGCAGTTTTTCGTATAGAGTCACTATTTGTCCGCTTGTATCACTTACTAACCCAACTTATGTAACTTAATTTCTCATGTAATTTAATTTTTCTTTTTATATCTTTACTATGTCGTAAATTCTTCTATTAATTAAAAGAACCAACCTCTTCATGCTCAACAGTACGTTTCCTCTCGGTGACGATCAGTCCATCAGGTTTCAGTTCTTTCTTCTCCAAGGTTTTCTCGGTGTCGATCACCTTGTTCGACTTGGTAGTGTGCTGGACAACCCTGGGACCCGTTTGCGAAGCCAACTGTTTCGAGGATTCAGCAAGGGCTACTCTCAGATCACCCCGGTTACTCCGTATCGCCTTCTGGTACGCCTGGAAACCAGATGAGTCACCGTTTAGCCGGTCAGGACAGTTATTATCCGTTGGAAATCGCCTCCCGTCCCGAAATCTTGCCCGTGATAAACCGGATCGTCCGGCTCTCCACGAACAAGTGGAAGGAAAGGTGTTTCTAACGGCGAAGGTCATCAGTCTCGGTGACAATAAGCACAAAACGAGGTTAATGACATCATGAACCGATATGGAAGGAAATAATCGTGTCGAAGCGATTAAACGTCATTGGGTAAATGAGGTTTTTACATAAATTAATAATAAATAATAAATAAACGATTTAACGATGTAAGTGATTTGATTCCTGCACAAGTGAAGATAAAGTGTAGAGGTCATTAAAGGTTGTTGATTATATACAGGGTGCTCAAAAAGAAGTTATCATTTTTTGAAACCCCCTGTATAAATCGGATCAATTATTTTTAAACTTACTACGTATAAAAGTTTCATATGTAACCTTAAATGACCTTTACTCACTGACTTCACCGTACGCGAATGAGAACACACGTGGGTCACAAGGACGTTCATCCTAAGTTCTGGAATATTACGCGACGAGAATGAAACGACCTTGACACATTCTACCATTTAATAGCCTCCTAACAGCCTCCTTCTAACACTCAGATCGTGTTATATTAAAACTGTGTCCTCAAAGAACCGTGTTATGTGAGGACTCTCACAATTTTCAGACCGTGTTCTATTAAAATTATGTTCTCAAAGAACCGTGTTATGTGAGGATTCTCGTAATTTTCAGACCGTGCTGTACCAAAACCGTGTCCTCAAAGTACCTTGTTATACGAGTATTACCAGCAAATAAAAAAAAAAAACCAATAACCTGTGTATAAAGCAGTACGACGTACAAATCAATTTTTTCTATAATCCTTATTAAGTAGACACCAAAGTTCACTGAGGCACACACAAGATTTCATTCATCCTGAACAACGTGACAAGGATCCCCTTGGAGGAATCCAGGTAGAGCTACCGCATACCGGCGCCTCATCAACGAGTAGGACCGTGACGAGGACGAGCGTTATCACTACAGAGGATCACATAATGTCGTTAATTGTCGGCTCGGAGGATCAGAGGACGCTAATCTATGGAACGCGTGTCGTATATACGAGCTGTGTCGAAAATAGTCTCTCGCGCGGAACAGCTGCTGTGACTGGATAGATCGTTGCATCCCAACTCGTTCTCGTTCGTCGCCATTCGGTGAAGGGAGAGCAAAGTCGAGAGATCATCGACTTCCACTTCTCCTGATGACTCCTGTTTCTCTCTCTTTCGTTTATTTTCGTCTTTCTCTTCTTTGCTCCTTTCTCTTTCTCCACACGGTTCACCAATGTGTATGGTGTATCCATCCCTACTTCTTCTTCTTCTTCCTCTTCTTCTTTCCTCTCATTCCTCTTCATCCAGAACGAGCAGACCTCTTCGTTTCTGAATCGTTCATGCGCGAACAAACGCGTATACACTCTCGTTCATAAGTATTAGGACACTCATTGTGAATAAGAAGCAAACCTAAATAGTAATTACAAAATTATTAACTCTTTGAGACAATGATTACTTGCACAACATACAACTGTATAGGCCATTACTTCTACTTTTTTTTTTTAACTAAATTCATATATTTTCATGCATTCACGAATAGACATACCAAAGTATGTAAAATATATGAGAATAACATTACGAATAGTGGTTTGCAAATATACATATATAAGTCCATCGTCCTCAGAGGATTAAGATCCAAAAGAAAATTATTCAGCCTGGAATCTTGTAATACAAAGACTACATACAATTTTTCTGATATGTGATATTTATCAATTCCGTCGAAGAAATGTAATTTGAATCATATAACACTGGGTGGTACATATAAAACTGGCCTCAAACTATAAAACTGTAGTTTGCATTTGAGATTGATTTTATATGCGCCACCCGGTATTTTCTGAATATAATGGGTGTCCTAATACTTATGAACGGCAGTGTACCTGTTGCCTGGCTTTTGCAATCCAGAAGCTACCAATGCGCCTCTCTAGTGAGGATTTCTTCTTCTATCGTGGCTCGTTGCACGCTCCATCAACTCCTCGGAGGATCTACTCCTTCTCTTGCTCCTCCAGGTGCAACAATGATTGTTTGAAATGTTACTGTGCCACAAGGAAGTTTGTTTTAGGTACGACCTTTGGAACATTCCTGGATTTTTTTCCTTTTGTACCTTTTTTCCTTCATCTTGTTTATAGCATTAACTGCATAAGTCATTTAATGATTATACTTTTGTGGCTCGAAGCCTGCAAGACCAGTTACTGGCCAGATTTATGATAAGCGACGTGACAAATACGATCGAGATACACCTGTTGCACGGCCTTCCTTCCGTGTTCGTCTTCTTTCAAAAGGGTTCATTAATCATTTCAATAGTGACGGCAGAAGTTAGATGAAGATGAATCTCCGTTGGAAAAATCATGGTTTTCGCGATCGTTGGAGAGAGGAATTCGCTTTCTAGTGAAGGGTGACGCGGACGGTCACGCGCGGAGGCCAGACGAAGCTCAACAAAGGCGTGAAATGCAAATGTACACAGGGATTAGATAATAGGAGGACCTTTGTAAGCTGTGCAAATAGGACTGAATAGTGAAAAGAAGCTGTAAAGTGTTTCAAGCGTACACAGACATCTTTTCCGAAAGGAAAAATATTCATAATAATATTAACACGTTCACTGTTCAAGGAGTATGAGTACAAAGTTATCTTAATTGTTCAGAAAAATGATAAATTACATTATACATATTTTAGGATACATTTCTTAAATTTAAATAACACTGTTAATTTAACTTTTTAATCCTGAACAATTTTTCCTTAATTTTGATTTGGGAATATCTCAAAAACCAAAGAACATACTTTCCAAATTTGAAGGGTCAAAAGTGTGAGTAAGTGCCAGTGCTCATTCAAATACTTAAAGATTAATTATTGTATATGGAAAAAAATGTTTAGTGGACAGTGAACGTGTTAATCTCTTAATTGAAGAAGTCTCCTTAAATGGTTATTTAAGTCTGTAAGGTGTCGAAGTACATACTTCGACTGTTCATACAAATTTTACATCCGTCTATTTGTTTTTTCCCCCAGCCGTAAAATCTTCCAATTATCTTAGGCAACGTTTCAAACACACATTTCTCTTCTTCGAGAGAAAGCTCGTGTGACATACTTTAAAAAGAAATCGTTATTTGCTAAATTTAGTAGACCAAACGGACACGCATTCGTCACTTATATATACGTCCTTCGTGGTATTCTATCGAGTTTGGCCTTGACCAGAAAATTAATATCGGTCGTTCCAGAATTTCAGATTCTTTCTACAACGCCAGAAAAGGAGGTTGACCATAAGGGAGCACCGTATTTGTTCTCAGGACTGTGATGTCCAGGATACACGTGGGATGAGCCTTGGCGAGAGGCGAGCTGACCTTTTCCCTGGCGCTTGGAATCAAGCGTGGAAAGAGAAAGAGCGTGCAATACACCGCGGCACGCGCAGGTGGAATTTAGATGTGGGTGTGTCGCGTGGATATACCTCGTCTGAGATATCTCCTAGCTGCTGACGATCCTCCGTCTCCAGCCTCTCCTCGATCTCCTCGCGGCTCCTCACCACCGTTTCGTTTAATTCCTTCTGAACTATGCTACCGTCCGCAGAGCCCCTTCCACCTGTTGGCCATTCAACCTCCTGCGGTTGATCACCGGTTGTCCGTCTCTAAAAGGAGAAAAGATGGATAGAGCGTTGATGATGGTTGTTAAATTGACTTCTGTGGAGGTTTTGTTGAAGTCAGTGGATATTTAGTATGTTTGAAGTAAAGTATAATTGATAATAAGAGTGGGTATTGATAGAGTTGAAGAAGAAGTTAAATTACAGCGTGTTTTTGAAGCCTACAATCATCAGATACTAACTGTTTAACATCTTAGATACTAACTTTTTAACATCTTAGATACTAACTTTTAAGTAAATAACGTAAATAATGTATTATACGGATTTACCGGTATAATAAATAAATAATAATAAAAACCACTAAATATCCAATAACTTATTAGTAGAAGTGCATTTCAGTTGTACTTCAAACAGTCTTACTTCTTGCGTGGTGTGCTCTTGTTGCTCGACGTCCTCGGTAGTATTCGTGGTAACCAGAGGACCCGAGTCGACCACGACTTCGCCATCCTCTAGCACAACCTGTCGCTTCACTCTGGTTTCTATCTGCCTAGTGGTGGTTATTTCCTTCTTCTTGCGGGTCTCCCATTCCTCTGAAAGCGGAAGTACCGTTTCAAGGACTCTGAACTATACAATACCAGAGTTATTGCACAAAACCAATCCCCCTCTGAAGCGAACCAATTGACTAAGAAAGAAGGGAAAAGAAGAAAGGAGAAATGTTCACCCTTTCGTGATCAGTGGGACACATGTGTATCACTTAAGTAGGAGAAACGTTCCGATTTTGAGAAAACATAAAAAGTGACCGGGAAATAATGTAGTTATTCTCTTCACTATTAACTAATTTACTGTTAAATTTATTGTACTTTGTTATCGTATTGGGGTAAGTTGTTCCTAAAAAATAAGAGTTGCCTTTCAGTGAAATATTTCATTTCCTAATGAAATAAAATGCAATTTTATTAATAATGTTTATTTATTAAGGTTCAGACCAACAAAAATATAAGTATTATCTTTAAAAGAAAACTAAAACCATACAGGGTGATTCACCCAACTTGGCCTGAAATTGCTCGCAAACTATTCGCTGTACGAAATAGTGTATGAAGCAAAAGTTACATGATTTCAAGGGGGACATGTGTTACAATAATTGTTTTTTTCTACATTGTTTTTATACATAAAGTTTTGAAGGTCACCATGATTTTTTTAAATGGAACACCCTGTACTTCTTTCGGGAGATTAAGAGAGCATTAAAAGCTGAGTAAATAAATATTAAGGTGTAATATGTTTAAAATGTGTATTTAAATTAACAACCTGCCCCAAATCACAGGAACAACTAGCCCCCATCGACACACGTGGCAGTTTATGTGAATACATATTCTGCTTATATATTGAAATAGTCTAATAAAAATGTCATTTGATCCATAAGGACGGAACAATTAATAATTTCGACGTTAAATAATCGAAATAGACCAAAAAGTAATAAACGGCAAATATTTTTAGTTTTCTGATACGTGACTAAACAATTGAAAGCACAATCCTATTTCTTTTCATTTTAAAGTTATAACCATCGGAAAAACTTACCCCCGGTCTCCTACTCGAGCAAAAATTGATCTCTTTTTAATGAGAGAATTAAATAAACAACAAACTCTTAAAAACAATAATTTGGTCACGAAAGGGTTAAGACGAAAATGAGCGATCTACAGTGATCTGTTTCATGACGTCAAATAGGAATAAGGGAACCTCCTCTGGCGTTAATATGCCGCACGGTAAACGTTTGCCAGACGTTGGTTCGCGAGCGACACGCCTTCCCTCTTATCTTGTATCTAGTTATTTGAATCACGACTTTCGAGCGTCCGCATCAACGGGGCGAACAATGCATGACAATCACGTTCGAGGAATTACCTTCTTTGACCAGAGCCACGGAATTCTCAGGGTCGATCTGAAATGCGAGAAAAATCGCGTGGTTAAACTTGTCCTGACCATATACACTGTAGACCAAAAGTTTGGAGCTTTTCTTGTATCATTATTTAAATCTCAAATACACCAACATAGAATGTCGTATTTGTTTATTTATCTATTTATGGGTATAAACTCATTGTAGTATATAATATATAGGTTATTTCAAACGAATATTGATGCACAAATGAAAGTCAATATATTTTTCAAAATATATCATAGATAGTTTAATAGATTCTTTTAGTCTTGTAAAAATTTCTTCTTTTTTTTCAACCCTTCTGTTGCTCACAATGTACGCTGATTCCAAACTTTTGGCTGATAATGTATAAAATATAATACAATAACAAACGTTACTATGTACGATCTAAACATAGGAATAAATGATTCATTTCTTCGAAAGGTACAAAGATCAAGAAAATATGCTCACGAGAATCGGTGGATGGCTCGTTGGAGGTGGACGAGCCTCGTATCGGCGTGTCGAAATCACCTCCATCATTCGATCATGCCTGCTGGTGAATCCTGATGCTGTTAAGGGTCTTCGTGACGGGAAGTGGAATTATTGGTTCACGGATTCTTCCAATAAATGCTTGCTTTCTAATCCTACGATCTTCTGCTTCTACAAGTTTTCCTGAAAATAACCAAAAAGGAAGAATGTACGTATAAATTGATCGATTCAAGACAGAATAGTTAAACGTGTAAATGAATGTGCAATTTATCGATTCCAAGAATCGATTTTATGCGATCAGGATATAAGATGTAAGAGGATCATCTCGATGCAGTCGAAGGTATCGAAGATGTAGCATATTTAACGCTTCTAGCGTAATCGTGACCACGTATGTCTTAGCGTGCTTGTGTATGTGTATAGGCGGGGCATAATAATTCATCAGGACGCTCTTTCTGCATGGAAGTCGAAGGCCGCAGTGGCACGCGGGTCTGTGGTCGCGACCACCTCGATATGGGCTGCGATACGATATCGAGATGGTTAAAGACACGCGTGCGCCACGTACGACCAGTTGCCGATCACAGTGGCGTATTTGTCTTACTGTTTAACCCTCCGGGTAACGAGTTCAGAACGATTTGATCATATCTAGATAAACATCGACAAAAAACTGCAGTCTGAAAAAAGATTAAACAAATAATATCTAAAAAAAATTTCAACTCTAACCTCTATTATAGCAAGGACCACTAAACGAGTTAAATCTGAGTCGTTTCGTAGAAACTTTCAAGATAAAATTTTCAAAAATTGCCAAGCAATTATGAAATAGCTTACAACCTAGAAACTCCATTATAACATCCATTATTCTCCAATGTCGAGTCTGTACTGTTGCCCGTCGATATAAGGTGGTTCATAAGTCACTTTACCACTTAAAAATTGAATATCTTTTTTTTTTTACTACACGTCTGAAAATATTTACTTCGGACTATCCTGTATTAGAGCTATTAAATCTATGTAACTAATGTTAGTTGAGGCTTCCGGGTGTAATCCGTGTCCAGAAGAATTGTAATTCCGGAAGCCTCAACTAACATTAGTTACACTGAACCGGGCCGTGAAAGTCTCAAAACTATTAAATCTATGCTTTCTTGATATATAATTCCTCCTCAGCTCAAATTGTCCGAAATAAAACACAACGAACAAATGAATCAATTGTGCTTATTTCGTGATAGCGTATCTATGAAGCAAGTCCCTTCCCAGAATCCCATTCTTCAACCGAGAATCAAAGCCTACGCCATTGAGCACTTGCGTCCTTGCGGTTGGAATTACGCACGGGCTCTCCCCGTCCCGGCTGGAACAGGTACGTAAGTATCTCGATTTTTCCTCCCCTAGAATCTAGGCTTATAATGCGCCGTCTTAGGCTAAATGACGGCTACCAGAGGAAATAATCGTTCTGGCCTGTTCCAACCGGTACGCGTGGACGTTCCGATTGCCGACAATTAACGTGCTCGCCAGAGTAACGATCGAACATCGTGTATGTTCGCGACGTAAGAGACGACGATCGACGACGACAAGGCTTGAAAAACAGGTGCGATTTCGCATTGACATCACGCTTCACAGGCGATTCTATATACGACCGCGTCGGCCTTTATCTCATTGGATATGCGTGTGACGTCAGAGATGCGTTATATCGGTGCGCGATTAAACAAATGAAAACTGTCTACCATGCAGGACGTTTTTCTGCTCTATTGTCGCCGCGAAGGTCCTCCAGAAGTCATAGTCACGAAAAAGTTGTTCCTTGAATTTTATTTTCTTCTTTGTATAGACAAATATTTGAATTTCATGTAACTTGTCTTTCAAGATTTCTTTCTAATCAAAAATGCAACTTATATGTTTCTATTTTTAAATAGAAAGTCTGTAATCTCTTTGTATGAGATCTTTTTGCCCTTTTTATTAAACCAACCTAACCTCTTTTTTATTTCTTGCAAGCAATAACATGTTACATTAATATGGAAGACGTGTTTGGTTATTCTGATTCTTTTTTATAAAACGTTTGCAAATTTTTACCTCTCAAGGAGTCCTTTCTTATCCTTTCTGTTTCATTTTCCGTCGAATTAAGTTTTTGGATCGAAAAGTGGTTCGTAAAAAATAATGGACGATCAGTGAAGGTGTCTCGATGGGAGTCGAAAATAGTGCGGCGTATAATGCCAGTGGTAAAAGTGAGTCGTAAATTGCGCGGTGCGTAAATCGGCCGACGAGCGCGATTGTTCGTGAACGGCGTTTAAATCACCGCTCGACACGTCGTCGGTGATTTAAATGCACGGCTGCGAGGAACGAAAAGTCGACAAATAAATAGAGCAACCGGAAAGCAGGTGGACACTCGTGGGCGATATGCGTGCAATGTGATGGACACGTGACCTCAACAAGGACGTCGCCATTTTGAGGGAAAATAATAAGCGCGGCAAATTTATTATTTAATAAACGCGACGCACTTCTACAATGTATCCTACTTTCTAAAACAGAAATAATTCTTCTGACAATCATTAAACGCAGTAACTTGTTCAAATTTATACATTCTAACCTAGTTCAATGAACTTCGAACAACTATGAATGAAACTAAATTAAATGAAAATCAGTAAAGTGGGATTAAAGAGAGATTGTCTGGTCAGTCTTCTGTAAACTTCCACACAGATAAGGTTTCTTTTTTTCACAAATTAACCATGTTCACAGACCGCGACAATGTATCACCGATAAAGTTTCGCGATGAAGTTAACTTAATCTCCTCAATTATGATAGATCATCGACTCAATTACGATCGATTAATGTGAACATGAAATTGCAAACATATACACGAACCGAAATCGATACGGTATCGAAAGCACGCGGCCAGGGGGAAAAAGGCGCGGACACGTAAACGTGTCTTTACACCCAATGCACTGGGAAGATTCCCATCGGTTTTCGTTGCACGGTGGAATTACGTAAGGAGCTGACAATGCCAGTCTCGTAACATCCTCGAGGAGGAAAAAGCGATTCGATGGAGCGGCCAGCCTTCTCTAGGAAAGTGCACGCGGCTTCGAATCGCAACGAAAGGGAATAGTCGAGGATCAGATTCAACTGGACAGAGTGAACGAGATGGCGAACAGGTGAGAAAGGAGAGAAAGAACCGTGTTTACATTCACCTGATTACTATCGTGTTCCAGCAGCAACCGGTGCTCTTAAATCCCTGGATAGATCGATTGAAGTAACTCCTTTGTATCTTCTTGTTCTTAGGTATAAATTCATCAATGACACACTTTATAACAAGAGGAAGAATAATCGTTTAAAATATGAAAAGAAACGTGTGATCAAATGACTAGCGAGGTGTTACAGCGTGGAAAGTCGAGTAAAGAACGACGAACAAACTTCCCGCGCATACTGTCGTGGGCAGCGCTCACGATACTGTCTGTTCGTCGAATGCTTTCTGACGGATCCGCCAGCCGTGGTGCTCCCAGTGGGAGACGAAGATCGCCGGAGCGGCACGAAGCGCACCCGAACTATCGGTAGTGATGAGATCAAGCTGGACCTGATCAGGGAATCGATAACTGATTTTCCACTTCTATATTGATTTAATAAAAAAATTCTAATTGAGTGTAAAGGAGGAATGATACTCAGTATAGTGAAGCTTCAATACATGAAATTTATTGTTGTGAGATTGGTAAAACCAATTTGAGGTCCACAAGAGGCTTGAATCATACCCATTGTTAAGAATGATCATTGTTGAATGAAACTCGAGTGAAAATGCTTGAGAGCGCTGTATAAGGCTAAAGGATCCCTTTGTCGGGGCAAGGACGACAATCGGATCAGGGACAATAACTGTAAGGGATATAGAAGACGAGGACATCCGCATTTCGAATAAAATCGGTCAGCGGGTCAGAGTAAAACAAACAAATTCATATGTAATAGTTATACAGAGGAATTAGTGTATAAAAAGCTGCAATGTTTGTATAAGTGTTTTGAGAAAAGTTCGAGGTTCCAACCTCCTGACCTGCAATATAAATCTTAATGAAATAATCATCGTGGACATTATTATTCAATACAAACATTAAACATTCAACAAGTTATCTACTACGTGATCCTAATTGAAATGTAATCATAATTCCATTATGCAATGAACTTTTTGTTACACTTTGTGATATGTGGTACATGAGATGAACCACAGATGTGATACGATCGAGATGAAGAAATCGAACGAAGGACTCCACGTCAAGTCACGTTTTGTGCGGACACCCCCTAAACTGGCTATCGTGGAAAATATATCTGGACAGAAGCGTCGAATACATATCCACAGGCCTATTCTTAGCGCTGGAGGTCGTTAATATGCAAATGCAACGTTCCAAGTGAATACCTTATATCGCACGTGTGTGAAGTGATTCATCGGTGGACATAATCAAAATATCGCATCTCGATATCTCGTGGTCCGTGCTAGGTATCCAAAAATGGTCCTCTAAAAATCGAGAGAAAGAATAAAGAATGGAGAACGAGATTTACATGTTTTAGGAATATGAGAATTTTTATTGATACTTCTTCGAAGAATTAGGTAATACTTTCATCATCGAACGGTTGCACGAGTGTCGCCCTTATAATTATCGTTAACGTTGCCGCCGATCGTTATTCCATGACTCAATACTGCATCGATGCGCTCTGTTTACACTGAACAGTAAGGCCATAATAGGAACTATTGGCACGGTTGCACAGCTCAAAAGTACTCGCGTTCAAAGAATTTTGCATTCCGCTTACGTAATATCCAGTGAGCTAAAAAAAAAAAAAAGAGGAAATGACTGTAAAAACCGCTTAGGAATATTATATAGCCTCTTACCGCTTAATTGTAAAGCAACATGCACGTTTATGACTCATTAACGCCATTTAAAAAATAATCCACAATATCATCTTAGAAAGTTAAACGATGAGGCTTATGATGTATTCATAATATATTCAGATTCTTTTAAGGATGAATCACCTCTTATATATGTCGATAAAAAAATCAATTGAAATTCCATTCTAGCCTCGAAACACAATTGTCGCCACCGAGAGAACCTCAGAAGCGATGAATGATCCTGCGCAAACGCATCTCATGTGCGCCTTCTCTTCGCGCGTAATCTCATTATCCCGGTTTTCCTTGGCGCTAATCTCGTTCTCTATATAGAGACGGCAGTAGTATCCTTGGAACGAAGCACGCGTCGTTGGTCCGTGGTATTACGAGTGTATCGAGCAATCATGCCAATGTCAATAACAGAAATTACAAGAACGATAGTGGAGCAATGACGAGTGTAGATTGGTATGAGCAATTAGTTAAATCGTGATGGTTGTAATGAACGAAACACGTTAACTCCTCACCACATATTAAATGCAGTGTAACATGGTGAATCGACGATTAATTTGTGAACCTGAAACAAGATGGAAAAAAGAATCAAGCTGATTGACCTCGAATTATTCTTCCGGGAGGACGAGCCGTATGCATTGCATGTGTATCATGTACGTAGGTAAGCAAGAAGACAACCCACGTCAGCTGCGAGTCAAGACAAGCTTACCTATATGGATTTGGAAACGTGGCCGTAGCCAAAAGCGGCCGATCACAAAATCCACTACGGGACAAGTTTGCGTGGCGGGCGTAATTGCTACTATGAACTGGTTCAAAAGAGGCGCGCCTTTGCAGGTGCGGCCTAACACATCGATCTGGCTCGCTTTTTCCACGAACGGAAATTCTTGTTCTCTCTATACTCGAAGATATTGATGATATTATCGATGCTAGGTAAAAATCGTATAGATCGATCGATGTATGTTTCGTAGAGGAAGAAAGAGAATTAATAATATTACCTGTTCGGTTATTTGTGGTGAATTTCAAGTATGAAAAGTGAAAGTCGAAGAAAGGATACATGTAAACTATCTTTTCTTGGTACAGTGTTAACGTAATTATCTTTCGACAGAAATCATGTGAAAGCGAGTATCAAGCGATCGAAGATTGGTAATGGGTGTTCTAATTTCTTCCTTGTTAGAGATTTGTACCTCCTAGTTGTCAATTTTTTACCAGTACGAGGAAACGAAGATCAATTGCCGATAGTTATTTCTATTAACGTCTACATGGTCGTACAAGTTCTTGTCGGCCAGTTTGTAGAGGTTATTTTCTACTTTTTTGACAATTCGACAGATCAACCAACATGAAGATCATCGCGTTTCCTATTGAAATTTTCGATATCGATATCTTTTCCCCGCCGCTGAAAGGGCATGCAGCACGTGGCGCGAACTGACGGCTGAAAAATGTACCATCAGATAAAGGACCGTCTGAAATTTCTATATAGGTGGTGCTGCAAGTCATGGTCTAGTAATAAAACGAAAATACCTAGCTTACGAAAGAAGTGAAAGAGAGGGGAATATATAGTGGTGTTAGAGGCACGACCCCAGGCAAGGGAATACATCGAGCGTATCTCTGTTCGTATGTCCGTCTTTGAAGCATAGGTACGCCATGTTCTCGGTCGTTGTATTAAGAGAGAAATAGCGGTGGAGCAGAAGGGAGACAGAGCGAGCAGAAGGTAGCGGAGGAGGAAGCAAGAAGGTGGCAAAGAGGGAGAGAGAGAGAGGAAAAGAAAGAGAGGCAGACAGATGACAGAAATGCATAGCCGTGCTAGGAGCAGCAGCAAGAGAACAGCAGCAGCGCATAAGAGGAGAGATCGCGTCGTCCACGCGTAATTCGGGGCGTGTGCTAGGTTGCTTCGGTTTCCCTAGCTGGTGTCCGGTGGCTGCGTATCAAGGATGTACCGGTGGCAGTGCGGGATACACGTCATCGTCGCGTGACGACGACGTTACAAGAGGTGCGAGACCGCGAGCACGGTGTGGGTAGGTCGCGGCCATTTTTACCACACGATGCGGCAACCGTGCGTGCCCGTTCGATCCGCCATTCCAAACAATCGGTGTACTTCGTGCCCTCGCAGGGTGCATCTAGCCACGACTATTACTCGTGGAGGCACCGTCGAGCAACGATAATACGTGTCAGTTTATCCTTAAGAGGAGTATTTTCTTGTGTGAAACACGACGAGACAGCTCGCGAAAGCCGGCAGTGCTACTGGTTGTGGTGGCGGTGGACGTCGTTGACGAGGACGTGGAGGAAGAGGAGAAAGAAACGAAGAAGAAGAAGAAGAATGACGATGATATGATCGTGATGACCATGGCGAGAAAGAAACGACTCGAACGGCCAATACATTGGAATAATAAGGGAACCGTTCAAGTGTGCCTGTGATTCTCTGTGAATATAATAATCGCGCGCAGTGTGTTTCTTTTCATCGATGATACAGTGCCGTTTCCAGTGCCAGTGTGTCTTTTATGTTTCTCTCCGTTCTGTGTGTCGCTCTCCGTCTGTCCGCCCTGTGCGTGCGTGTTTCGCGTGCCTCCTCGCCACACACCGGACTCTCTCCTCTTCCTCGGCAGCGCGATCGATGGTGACACTGTGTGACCGCCTGGAACGTCTATTCTCGACGAAAATTCTCCGTTAACTCTACGCTTCTCATAAAACTCGCTGATTCCTGGAAATACGGGAAAAGACCACAGGGAGAATCGAGCTCAGTCACAGTGTTGTAGAATGCGTGTGTCCCGTCGGTAAACGTCCCGTCTCGCGAGAGTGTGTATCCCGAAGGCAGTGTGTGGTGTGCTCTCTTACTCGCGCTCTCTTCACCGCCTGTCCTCCCCCTCGCTCCCTCTCTCTCACTTCGTCGCTCCATCTGTCTCTCTTATTCACTTATTCTCGTTTTCTCTGTTTTTCCATTCCATCGTCCTTCTCTCTCTCGCTCTTGTTCGTTCACTCTCTCTACTCTGTGTCTCCTCTAGCCGTCTCTTTTCCTCTCACGCTAAAGAAGCATTAAAGACGACTGTAGTAGAATGCTCGACGACACCACGATACGACGCTTGTCATCGTTCTCGCGTTCTTCGTGGTCTTCGTCCCGGTCCCGGTTGTCTCCGCTTTTCTGCTCACGGCTTCTTCGTACAAATCGAGGAAGCTGAAGCACCGAAGAGGCTGAGGGCACCTCAATCCTGAGGTGACGACCAGCTAGCAGCTCTCGTGGTGGTAGCAGGGTGCGACAACGGCCGCTGTTACGGGACGTAGTACGTCTGCCTCGAGATGGAGATCGAGGCGAAACAACGGAACCAGAGAAACCGGAGACGAGAACGAGCCCAGCGTATGTTAGCGCAGAGGGAGAGCCTGGCCACCGCGAAGCAGCAGCAACAGCAGCAACAACAGCAACAACAGACCAGGCAACGACCGAACGACGAGGAGGACAGCCACAGCGGCGAGGACGAGGACCCCGCCGCCGGTCTTGGCCTCGGACTCGCCAGGACCGGTCATCCTCGTGACAGCCATTCGCGACCGCCCAGGCCACCGCGACCCCCGAGGCCTCGCAAGAAGTCTTCCCTCGCGGCTACCAACCAGAAGGAGCCTCCCTTCGAGGAGGACATTATTGACGGCTTTGCCATACTCGCCTTCCGCACCTACGAAGAACTCGAGGTAAGAACACAAACATGCGTACATAAAGTGATTTTACCCGGGTTAGTGTAACGTTTTCTACACCGATTTAGTGTAACGCTAGCTATATTTCCGTATCATATTTAAAGCGAATCTTTACCACTCATAACAGAAATTTAAATATTTGTATTTCTTATTGGGAATGTTACTAACAGATAGATTAGGTTTTCTGAATGAGGTTGTGTTTGGTCTAGTTTTCATTAGGAAATCGTGATCTATACATTGGTAATATTCTCATGACTATATAATGATAAATAGAAAAATTGTAATATTTGTCGTAGGATAATTCATACGTATATCTCGATAGTCGATTGTCAACGGACGACCATAGGGAAGTCTGACTGATTTGTCAAACAACGTCGCAAAATGACACATTCATCAGCTGATGACAACGTAACATAACCAAACACTGTTACATTAACCCGGAAAATACTGCACATTCATTTCCTTCATTCTCCATTTCTTCCATTACTTTTCTTCTCTGTTATTCTTTTATTTATACGTACCAACCACTGCTATGTTCACGTCTCACCTGTGTAACAGATTTACTAGCGGCGTTGTTCGTTGACGGATCGTCGTGTTTTTTGCGTGCGCGCATGCAGACCTACACGAACCTCGCTCGACCCATCGCGCGGACAGCCGTTTTCTTTTTCTTTTTTTTTGTTCCTTCTTGTGCCTCGCTCGTGCCAAGAAACGTTTTTATGCGTTGCGTTACAGAAGAAAAACGGTGGACGCTATTAATGTCGTCGAACGTTTACGTGTACTTACTTGGTACTGCAAGTTTTTTTCTTTTCTGCTTTTTTTTTTTGCAAATCATCAAGTAGAATTATTATATTTGTTTACACGTGACGCTGACGCTTAAGAGGCCGGTCGCTAGAGCAATTTGTAGTTTGTTCGTTTGCGACTTTTTGCTTGGTTTTATAGCTTCCATTCACCGTGTTGCTTCCCTCGGCCAACAACTGTTCTTTTCACTAGACTATGACCGGCGTGTTCTATAGTACAGAAACATAGAGGATTACCTTTTCAGCCCTTTGCACAATGATTTTTCCTCTACTTTATTTTTCCTTTATTTCATGAGCTATATTAAATATTAAATCATAAGTTTAAATTATTTAATCGTTAAAAGAATTGTTTATTAAATTAAAAAAGGAATATTAAGTGTAATTGAGAATCATAGTGCAAAAGTTATGTTCGCGGGCATGGAAACAAGGTTTTTCTCAACTGTATTCAAAGCTGAGGGGTTTTCTGAAAATTTCATTATACTGCACGATGCAGGCGTTGTTCGACGAGTCAGAAAATATTGCTCGAAAAGAGTAATAAAAACCAATTAGAGCAAATTGCCAACTGGTGCAATTAAAGGGTTGAGCGTTTAACTTTGCCACGTTGATTCGACGGGATTAATTTATGAACGTATTCCAGCGTCGTGCTATGTTGCTTACTTTACTGCTGGAAAAAAAATATACACGAATAGCAGCAGGTTGTAAAGAACTATTCTACTTTGTTATATTGTAACTACAAATTTTAACTAACGTTGAAACGATTCGTATCGAAATAAAGTTATATTTTGAATTCTTCGTTCATTTTCCACATTCTCCAGGTGTTTAACACATTGCCAACTGATTGGGTAGACTCATCATTTTCTATTGTATCAGTCAGTACAAATGATATTTTATTCTCATATACTATTTTAAAAATTTTTATTCCATAATATTGTTAGATATGAAGAACTATCATTCAATTTTACATTATTAATTTTCCTAATATAAACGTCTTTACTAATTTTTCTAGATTTAACTTAAGCAATCTTAGACATTTATTTAACTACAATTCGTTCGGTTGGTAATGTGGTAACTAGAAATTTGACAATACTCATTCAGAGGATTCACAGCTGACGTGATACAAGGTAGTTTATAGAAGAACAATTGCCTGAGTTTACTTTGCCTTTTGAAGGTGATAAGTATTTTAAGAGCTTCAAGATAATGTTATTTTAAAATATTGGTAAGGTTGCTGTTATATTCTGCGGTTTTTTTCTTTTCATTCCTTTTCTGTTTTTTGTTGACGTAAATTTGCATCACAGCGATACAAGACCTTACTGGAAGTAACATGAAACCCAATGTTGTGGTTTTAATAACCGACGTCGCTGAACACGTCTAAATCTTTCCACGGCACAATTTTCGTGATACGATTGCACCGCGCAAAATAATTAGAGGATCGTGTTTCCAATCGATTTGGAAAAGTGAAACAAGTGTTCAGGCTGAAAAAGATACCTCGCACAGGATATAGTAATAGAGGACTCAAAATAATTGCAGGTTCGTCGATTCTCTGAAAAATACTACATAAAAATTCTAGTAAGGTTAGGTTAGTTATATCATATTTTTTCATAAATTGCAAATAGTCAGTGGATTTTATATATAATCTGACGTTTGTCTCTCAGTTTCTAGATGTCCTTCTTTGTTTAAGCAGTACATGAGTAATTCAAACAAGCTCAAGGATCAATTCTTAATTATCAACAAGCTCAGCAAAACGATATTTATCTGTAAAAGAAAAAGAAAGAAGGGACTTTTAAAGACAAATTTTCGATTGCATGTCTTACCTGGTATACAGAGCAAATACAGGCAAGGATAAGGTTTATCTAATAAGAAAGTCATAGTTCAATAGAGATGAGTTTATGCATTACTCAAAACAATCTTAACAACGTATACAAAGTTGCAGATTATTTCCTATAGAATTATCAGAGATAAAGACAATTTTCTTCATAATATTTTGAGGTTAAAATGGTTTACTTAAGAGAAATATTTTAAATAAATCATCCGGTATTTTAATACACCAACAAAAAAGATCTTGTATTAAACACTATTTTATCCTTACAAACTTACAGTAAAAAAATTAACAGCTGTTGTTCCGAATGGCACCAGTAGCCAATCGAGATGAAACTTGGTGGGTGTTATGAGGAGTGTGAAGGGACCCCACATATAAAATTTTAGCTTCAGGAATTCATCCATTCGGAAGATACAGGCTCTCATGTATAAGGCATTTTCTACGCTATTTGCTTACTAATTATGTACTTAATTACAGTTTGAATGGTATTAGAATCAACATCGAATTGCTATGATACAGTTATGATCGGTTCACATGCTTTAAATATTGCAATGGACTGCTATTCGCTTCGCGAAGTGTCTGGAAGTATCTGGCGTTAAAATTGTAATTCGGAGCGTCTAGAATGGCCGAGACATCTATAATAGAATTAAACAAAATCACATCGGGGACACACACATATATGAAAGAGTTAGGTTATGTTAGAACATGGTTTAGGTTAGAACCTGTATATTCCGAATGGGTGAATGCCCGAAGCTAAGATTTTATATTTGGAGCCCCTTCACACCCCTCATAACACTTACCAAGTTTCATCTCGATCGGCCACTGGTGCCATTCGGAACAATATCCAAATTAATTTTCACCTCTGGTGAATGTTAAGAAGATAATTTATAATATTTGACTCGATATTTGCTTTATGTAATTTCTATCACTACTTTCAATATACTGACTGTTCCATTAAAATGGATGATCCAACAATTATTTTGAGTCACGTATGTAATTTGAAAGACACGACTGAAATTATCGATGCGTGAATTCTGTTCGAAGGAACCAGGTCGTTAAAAGCAATTGTAGCATGGATTGAGATCGATTTCGAAATAGAACGCTTTAATTACACGAAACCTTATCACGATACATCGAAGGGGGCATAAATTGAATTTATTATCTCGTTTTGGCGCGAGCCAGAAAAAAAGAAACAAATCCACACGGTGTGCATGGCTGCGAAGGCAACGA